CATTATAAACGTATTTTACTGTGTTGCTTACTACTTAGGAAAAACGAATGTTGGCACACTGTAGACTCCATTGCACTGGTCTTTAAGAAGTATATGTATTGCTTTCCAGTTTAAAAAACAAAAAACAGTAATTATATTTCTTGTGCTTTAGACCTAAACATTCTTTTAAGGATGTGTTTTTATTCTTCTCCATTATCACTTTTCTAGATATTTTATAGTGGTTATGGCTAAAGTTGTACATATATATATTAGAGGCTGTGCTCATGTTTAAATGAATTGTCATTGAGGGATTAATCTTGTAACCTTTATGAGCATGTTTTATTAATATCTTATCATTAAATTTAATATTAATAGTATTTAACATTTAATAACCATAGAATGTATATGTAGGAATGTATTTGGTGCCAGTGAGTTTTGAAAATGTGGAAAGGTCATTATACAGAACCAAAAGTATTAAACATGCTCCCCATAATATATTAATTGCACTCGTTCAACTCATTTATGAGGCAGTTCTGGATAACAAAGATTATATTTTTGTTTGTCAGCATGCTTAGCAATATGCCTTCCAGGAATGGAAGTGTTTTTGGTACAGCTTTTGAAAATATCTATTGCACTCTTAAATTCTGAAAACACATTTGCCATGAAATGATTTATAATTAAACAGAAAATTGATAAAGTGGAAGGAGAGAATTTAAAATTGTAAATATTGTGATAGATGATTAAATATTTGTATTAAACTAATTTAGTAATTCTTATTGGTAAAGCAGTATAATTTATGTCTAAAGAAGTACTTTTTAAATGATTGAATAATTAAAATATATTTGAACTGTTTTTATCCTCAAAAGATCTTAATTTTTAAATCATTTTCCTTTATCACATGTGTGTGTGTGTGTGTGTGTATTTATTTGTTTCAGTGGCTCACTATGAATTTAAATATGTTTGACAGGTTTCTTGACTCTAAAAACCCACACTTTTTTAAAAAATGGCAATTGACGGGCACCCGGATGGCCCAGTAGGTTAAGCATCTGATTTTTGATCTCCGCTCAGGTCATGATCTCAGGATTTGTGAGTTCAAGCCCTATGTTGGGCTCCTTTCTGAGCTCAAAGTCTGCTTAGGATTTTTTCTCTCCCTCTCTCTGACCCTCCCCTGACCTCTCTCTCTCTCTCAAAATAAATAAATAAAGTTTAACAAAAAAAAGCAACTGAGAAAGAGTATGTAAAAATGAAAAAAGTAATTTTTGTATAGGTTGTGCCATGTAGGAGAATACATGTGACTATCTGAGGCTGTTTTATCTCCATTTGGAAAAATGCCATGGTTGTATCAAGGTTCCTCTGTATTACTTGGTTTCTTTTATTTACCTCCCTTGAGTGATATAAAACTAATAAAACTAATATTTAGGGAAATTGTCATTAGGTATTTCACTAATTCTAACTACTTTAAGTTATTTTGATATAATCAAAACTTTTACAAGTCGAAGCATGTATGAATGGATTCTGTATGTATGTACATGTATAATTGCTTGCATGATTATGTTAGCATGGTTGAATGGTTTCTTCTGACAATCTCTTTCGTTTTTTTTTTTTTTTAATTTATTTTTTAATTTTTTTTTCAATGTTTATTCATTTTTGGGACAGAGAGAGACAGAGCATGAACGGGGGAGGGGCAGAGAGAGAGGGAGACACAGAATCGGAAACAGGCTCCAGGCTCTGAGCCATCAGCCCAGAGCCTGACGCGGGGCTCGAACTCACGGACCGCGAGATCGTGACCTGGCTGAAGTCGGACGCTCAACCGACTGCGACACCCAGGCACCCCAGTCTCTTTCGTTTTATGAATACTATGGGAATGGCAGAAGGGAAATCTCTGTTACAAAGAGTGTTCTAATTCTGGAAATAGATCCAAATTTTTCTCAGAGTACAGCTTATGGCACAGGACCCACTGGCCACTCCATTTGGAAGATATTTTTTTCCTCCCATATTCAGGGACTATATGTTTCTTAATACAAATTTATACCTGAATTCAAGAATATCTGGAATCTAGAAAGTACCTTTCTTTCACTGCTCTATTTAATTCATACAATACCAAGTTTACTCATAGGCACAAAATTCAAGGATTTTGGATTGCTTTATTAGGGATAGTTCTCACTTTGAATGATCTGTTTTGAAAAATTCATTGAAATCGGCTCTTCCGTTTAAGGATCTTCTGCCCCACTGCCACGCAATATGTAGTTATTGTCAGCTTAAAATTTTCTACAAATACAGAAATTTAAGACAGTTTTATTCTTAAATAGTTAATACTTAAAATGCAAATTAAACTGGATTGATGTAATTTATACCAATATTGAGGATCTACTAAGTTCCTATCACTACCCTAAGCCGATAAAAATTGAAGTAAATTAAATGAGCATGACTGAAGATCTTCTGTGTTCACAACACTAAATCAGACCTGATAAAAAACATATTTCCCAACCCTGATGTGGAAAGCAAGGATGTCATAGCATATCCTTGAAATATAGGGTGCAGGGTCCCACGGCAGAGAAGAGACACTGAAAAGGTAGGGAAGTCAATATTATCAGAGACGACTTGGACACACAAGGAAAAGAGATGATATGCAGGGTTCTGGCATGAAGCGTCGTGTAGATTCGATACACCACAGAGTGCAATGTGAGAAGTTCAGGAGAGGCTGAGGTACAGGAATTTTGATGAGACAGGAACCAATAATCCAGAACTCTGTATAAATGGATGTTAGTGCTAGGGAAAGTATAAACTAATTAAATCTGTACTGTGGCCCTCACTTTGTCTCTCAAAATTAACTATCAGTGTGTAACTCACAGCAGTGTCCCCTTTCGTGTGGACTAAGTGCTTCTCCAGACTTTATATTACAATGTGATCATTTGAAAATCAAATCTACCTTTCGCTGTTTTTTGTTTTTGTTTTTGTTTTTGTTTTTGTTTTTGTTTTGTTTTTTTTATGCCTGGAAGCAAAAGTGTGATTACTTAGCCTGGTATGGAAGGGCCTCTAGGGTGGCCAGACCTTGCTGTCCAGCTCTTCTCCTAAAGCTGCCGACTCTGGCCTTGAACACTGGTCATACAGAAACACCGGCATTGATCCACTGGGCATACCAAGCTGTTTTTTAAGTGTGTACCTTTGTGTATGCCATCCCTCCTGCATAGGGTGCTGTCTCTGCTTTCTACCATGTTGTAACTGTTGATTCAACATGAAATTCAAATATTCTCTATTATGAACTTTTTTCTGACCTTTTTCCATGGTAATCCTTCATCTTGTATCACTACCCCTTCTATTTCTAATCTGACAATTAGACAACTGTATTTTAATTATTTATATCTGCCTCTCTTATTCGACTATGGAATTTCGGCTACTTTGGACTGGGAGTAAGTCAAGTGATCTAATAATCCACAGTTTTCTGCCAAAATGCATCTCTTTATATCTGTCAATGATAAAAGGGACCACTTGAGATTTGCCCAAGGCCAAATTCTTCTTCCTAAGAAATTTGAATACATTTCAGGGCAACATTGTATTATATACCCCACACTTATGAGAAGATAGTATTATAAATATCAAATATACACAAAAGAAGAGAAAATAGTATAACACATCCCATTATCCATTTTCAACATTATTAACTAATGGTTATGCTTATCCCCCTCTATATTATCTATGGCTCTAGTCTCCTTTTTCCCCTCAAATATTTCTAAGCAAAATCTTAGACATGATAACCTTTTGTTTGGAAATATTGCTATATCTATTTCTAAAAAATAAGGGCACTTTTTGAAAGCATTCTGATGATGCCATCATTACACCTAAAATATTAACAATTCCTTAATATTAACAAATCTTCTATTAGTATTCAATTATGTACTGCTTCTTATTTTTTAAACACTTTGGGTAAAAACCTAGGAGAGTCTACTTTATGACTGGTTGACAGGTTTCTTTTGGTCTAAAGCAATATTCTCAATCAGGGGAAATTTTACCCTGTAAGGGATAATTTTGGCAGTCCAGAGACATTTTTGGTTTTCACAGCTGCCATGGGCTGAAGGTTTGTATCCTCTCAAAATATAGGGGTTAAACACTTAACCCCAGTGTGATGGAGTTTGTAGGTGGGGCCTTTGGGAGCTGATTACATTAGATTAGTTCATGCAAGAGGCCTTCCTGATGGGGCAAATGCCCTTATAAAAAGAGAAGACACAGGATGTCTATGTGTGTGCATGCACGAAGGAAGGCCAGATGAGAATGTAAACAGGAAGAGGACTCTAGCCAAGAACCCGACCATGCTGGCACCTCCATCTCAGACTTAAAGCCTCAGAATCATGATAGATAAATAAACCTTTGTTATTCAAGCCACTCAGTGTATGGTATTCCATTACAGCAGCCCAGACTGATGGAGGCAAGTAAAAGACAGTGGTACTGGTATCTAGTGGGCAGAGACCGGGATACTGCTAACCATCCTGCCATGCACAGGACAGCTGCACAATAAGGAATGATCCAGCCCCAGATGTCAATAGCGCAGGAATGAGGTTTAGTCCAGAGGTTTTACTGTCACCTATTTTTTTATTGCAGTTTGCTTATTGAATATACTGGATCATTTGTCCTATAGAGTTCTCCACCATTTGTATTTGCTAATGATACATTGTCATATCATTTAACATATTTCTCTGTCTCTCTTGTATTTATTAGCGATTAGATTTAGAAGCTTCATCAGATTCAGATTTTTTTTTTTAGCAAAACTCCTTTATTTTGTTTCATAGATAGTGCTGTATATTGCCATGAGGGAGCTATATAATGTCTAATTATCCCTCATCACTATGGGAAATTTGATCAACGTCTATATCCATTAATTCATTAGCGGTTGGAGACAATATTGTATTTTTATAATTTCTTCATTTACAGCAAATGTCACCGTTTCTTGGAAATTTTTATTATGATGTTTGATATGAAAATAGCATTGTGCACGAAGCATTTACACATTCTGTATTTGTTTTTAGAAATATCCTGTACCACCTTGATGGAAAGACAAGCCAGTTTTCAATACTCCTGGAGGCTTGGGAGCACTGCAAGTTACTTGCATCAAATGAGACCATTCAGGAAGCCCTGTCAGAGGTGTTGAACAGCATTAATTCAGCTCAGGTTTACTTTAAAGCAGGACTTGATGTGTTCGACAGTGTCTTGGTTGGAAAGAACTGAGAAAACTCTCAGCATTTTAAGAAGTTTGTTTACAATTCCTCAAGCAAAAGCTCTAACCTAACCAGATTTTCTGACATTGAAGACTTTCCCCCCAATGACTTTTTTACAATTCCAAAGCTATTATTACGTTGTATTTTTAAATGTACATATAAAAGAGCATTTTGCACATTTAATATTTTCTTATATCTACATCTCTGAATATGTAAAAGCAAGTTATTGAAATAATACCTAAGGTTTATCTATTAAAAAGAAATCTGCTGTATTTTTATATATATGAAATATTTGGGGGGCAAAGTTCCAAGAAGTTCTGGACAATCTTCAATTCTAGGGATAAACCATGTAGGAACAGAAGTTATTCCCTATGTTACAGCTATTAATGACCTAGTTTCTGTAATAGAAATGGAAAGTTGATATGGTTTCAGATTAACTTCACTAATAAGTATTCAATATGAAGAATTCAAGTATTCCGACTGAATGATTGGTCGACCAAAACCACTTTGAATGTTTCTATTTTATGAAATGAAGTGCCTGTTCATAATACAACTAGATGTAGTAATACACTGGTTATGAAATTGTATTTTTTTAAGTATTAATGAAAAAAAGAGCCATAAACATTCCAGGGGAAAATCTCAAAGTAGCTGCACAGAGCAATTTAAATGCAAATTTTTTCCTAACAACTTATAAGGTGACTAGCTTTGAAACCCCTAATTTGCCTCAGTTGATTTTGTAAAAATTACAGGAGTGATATATGTCTTATGAGGGAGAAAATATTTCTTATTTCTTCTTCTGTTCGTTCTGTAGGAAGCACTGAAACCTAGCTACTCTGAAATGAAAGCATTTTGCATTGTTCTTCCTACCTGTATCTCTTCTGAAACTCCTTCCTGGAAGGCAGTTTTAACAGAATACCATGTAATTTCCACAGGAAAGTAGCGAAGTTTTCTTTGAAAACCCAAACTATCTTAAAAAGCACCAAACTGCTGTTTCTGCCACTGACACAAAGGACTCACAATGAAAGAAATAGCTGTTTGATCAATGAAAAACTTCTTAATTCTGTGAAGAAACTTTTGATATTTTTCCTTCTTTATCCTTCATTGTGACTAAGATGCAAAAGTAGAAAATATTCATGCTTCTAATTTTATGCAGAAAATACAGTGTTACTACAAGAGTGTGTCATTCCCACACTTCGATTCTTCTCTCATGTGGAAAATGAAGTTTTTCATGTTGACACTGTCATGGAATGGCCCTAGCATCCACTATTCCCCAAAAGCCTACAATTCTTTCTATTGGATGACAGTTTAAACTGTGAGCTTCTCTTTAGAAATGTTCTTCTGGTGTTGAATAAAGCGATGCCTCCTGGGAAGCATATCCTCAGCATATTTTATGTGAACTGTACCTAACACTGCACTCAAACACACTTCCCATTTAGATACAAGACAGAACAAGATTCCAGACAATGCTTGTATGTCTAAACGACAGACATTTAGATACATTCCAGACAATGCTTGTATGTCTAAGTCTCCGATGTTTATGGATAAGCATAAACCTACTCTTCATTTCAAAGAAAGCGACAGTTGAGGGGAAAGAATTAATCAGTATTGATTAATTGATTTATAGGGGTCAGCTGTTGCTACCATAAGTAATGTGTATAAGCTCAAGGCAAAGAGGAGAATTGATGTAATTAGCTAGATAATTCAAGCAGAAATCCATTTTCATATGAATTGCCTGTGTGAGCATATTTTTAAATGACAAATGAAACTACCTTACAATGTTTTGTTTTTTTTTAAACCAATGTACTTGCTTGAAAATATTTCTCATGTTGAAGAGTATCTACAGGGAAAGGTTCCAAGGAGCAGTCACCCGTGAGCCTCAGCATCAGCTCCCTCTCTTGCTCCACAGAAATTAGCAGCAGAACAGAGGTGAGAAGACACAGACAGACATGTTTGGGGCCCAAAAAGAGAGTGTTGATACCAAAGGGTCTCCAACATTTTAACCAAACTTCGGTGTATTCATTCCAGTTCTTCATTTGGAGTTGAAGTTACTTTAAAACAACATTTTGGAGTTGGCGCTGAGTTTAAAACGAACAAAAACAAATAATTATTACTTTTGTAGTTTATCATTTAATTTCTCAATGTTTATTCATTTTTTGAGTTAGAGAGACATGGCATCAGTGAGGGAGGGGCAGAGAGAGAGGGAGACACAGAATCCGAAACAGACTCCAGGCTCTGAGCTGTCAGCACAGAGCCCGACGCGGGGCTCAAGTCACAGACCGCGAGATCATGACCTGACCGAAGTCTGACTCTCAACCGACTGAGCCACCCAGGCGCCCCCATGGTTTATCATTTTAAAACTCAATCTTAAATAAACTCACCCCCTTAGTCTGTAAGACTGTTGAGAGCACAAAGTATATGTTTGTATATTTTGGTTTAAAGATTGTGTACCTAGGTAAACCACATTGCATAGATAAAAATCTCAATATTAGTATTGCCCTTCTAAATTATGTGGTATTTGCTATTTGAAAAAAAAAAAAACCTAAACGTAACTATGTATTAATGTGTTTTTATTAGTCTATTTAAGAGATGACGTGAAGAAAGTATTATAATTAAAACAGATGTCCACTAATTCTATAGATGCTGCTTTAGATCTTTGATTGCAACAAACCTCTGACCTAGACATCATTGCTAAAAATATTATATCATTTTTATTTCTTTCCCTAACAAATCCAAGTAAATAAAATCCTATGCAAGTTAATAACAAGTGTTTTGGTGAATTGATAATAGGTTTAAATTGTTGCTGAGATATCTGGGTGCCTGGTACCTCTCACAATCCTTCGTACATAGATTTGCACCAGGGCATAATGAGTCACAAAAGGTTATTCTCCCAAGAAAATGTGGCAGATGTTCGCCACTTAAATTTAGATTCAGGAAGGTTCACATGAGCTACTGCCCTTTGTGGAAAAGCAGAGATTCTTGAGGCAAAAGAGCCTGAGAGACATTCTGGTCTAAGCCCTAGGAAGTTCCCTTCAGCCAGGGAAAGCATCATCACTCCCATCAGATGAGTAAGTGAAACCAGACTGATTTAGCAATGTGGATATAGTCACATGTTTAGTTAGGAGCAAAAACACTAAACTAGAAAGCACTGGAATTTAAGCTTCTCTGCTTTCTGATGCGGTATATCCAGCTCATTCCCTGAGGTGCTAGGGTTATAAAAGATCTTTTCCAGGGCGTTCTATGTAACTAGCCATTCTACCAGATGCTATGTGGGCTGGAATCACTGCTTTTAATTAAGAACTAGTCATTCTCTGACTATACATGATGAACAAAACTGTCCCAGGGAACCCAGGAAAAAGACACTAAGACTGGGTAATGGGGGAAGTGGGGAGAGTCTCTCCATGACACCATAAGTCAGGAAGGAGGGCATTGAGTAAAAGCCCTTTATGAGAGGACATTTCAGCTCTTTATTAAATCAGCAGTCTAAATAAGTGTTTCTCAAAATGTGGATTTGGGGAAGTGAGGCTTAGGAATATTCATCTTTAGCAAGATTGCCCAGATAATACATATATACACTGAAGTTTAAGAATTTCTAATCTACACCAACCCTGGGTCTTAAGAAAACATTACTTGGTAATATATCTACATAAAATACAGAGTCACAATAACAGGAGGGACCTAAAGCTTTGCTATTAAAGGCACCATTAAAAACAAAGACCGAGAGAAACCATTGTATCTCTCAAAAAAGGATGCAGACACAGCTAATATCTGTGCTTCCTACATGTCAGGCACTATTAGAGACTTTTTCATACATTTGTTTCTTCTAATTGAACCCCTACAATAATCAGTTTTAAAAATGAAGCAATTTGGTTGAACAACTTGTCCAAAATTCTACATCTAATAAAAATGGCTGAGGTGTCTCTCTACTGGGCCCTCTGGTATGCAGTCCTGTGTTCTTCACACTGAGTTCTGTAGAAAACATCACAAGAATCTTTTGGTTTATAGAAAGTTGTATAGCTGCAACTTTTAATGTATTTCTGTACAACTGATCAGACTATGTAGCCTGCCACTTTACTGGTTTAATTAAAGAGTTTGAAGAAACAAATGCACCCTTCCTTATGATGTTTGCCCACCCCAGCAATGATGGACTTGTGTAGATAAATTAGAAGGTATCTATAAAAGCATTAAAAATAAGTGTACACTTATAAAATATCATGGCAACTAGATGTAACATAGTAAAAATGATGAGAAGCCACATATTTCACAATTTCCTCAAAATGCCTGTATAATTTCACTGAAAAATAAAAAAAGAGCAGGTGCTGGGATTTACAACCACAGTTTTATATCATCCTTAAAGATGGTATAAAAACTAATTGACTTTAAATATATATATATATATATATATATATATAACTAATTGACTTTAAATATATATATATGGCATACAATAAGTTTCCCCTATTGAAAAAAATAGGTGCACAAAAAGAAAATAAACAATGATTTGTTACCATCTGCCTAATAATCAATCCACAACTTTGCCTCAAATGAAAACTATAATTATTTGCACAATAAATTGGTAGACCTAGCCAACAGTGTTCTCAAGAGACATTCTGTGGAATGTGTAATTAATTACTCCAAAAACTAAGCTTTCTCTGAGGGTAGCACATTGTCATCTCACTGGCTTAATAGGCTATTTAAATGTGCCTTCGCCACACACTCCACTAGCAGAAAAGAATAATTTTAAACTGTCAATCCATGTGTTGAGCGGAAGGAAAATGGAACCACACATTCCAATAAACATATCAGCAACGTGACTGTACCATCACAAGATCATGAATGTAACCCAAGGGAGAACTAAACAATGTGATATTTGAGAAAAGAAATACTCTGCTTAGCTGCTAGTGAATCTACATGTCTTGCGTAAGTTTAAAAACCTCAGAATCTGCTACTCTGAAAGATTTTTAAAAACTTCAAGGAGTTCTGAGCACCCCATCAATTACAAAACACTTTTCA